ACTGTCTTCCAAAGGGATGACCCTGCATTTCCTTGACGAGTTCTCCAGATGAGATTTCAGTGACTCTGCCTACACTGATTAACTAGTGCACACACTCACACCTGCTCATGTGTATTCACTCTCATGTCCCCTTGTCAGTTCTGCCACCACCTCACGAAAACAGCCCCCTTCCTTCTTCTTTCCTGTGCTTATATGAAGTAAGCAAAGGAGAGATTCCAAGTCCTGTGCTCCCCTGGCTGACAGGACTCAGGTGAGCAATTGGGGAGGACTGGCCCAAAGATGCCTTCCTCCTCACCTTCTCTAGTCCTCACAGCTCAGCTCTCTAGGGCTAATCAGTAGGCCTGGCGTCCCAGTACGAAAAGGGCATCCCTGCAGCTGTCGTCATAAGCAAAGACCCTGATGACATCTGCTCAGAAAAAAAGTCATCGCCCAGCAATTGTTCTGCCCAGGAGGCCTGTAGGATCCTAGGGCACCAGAATCTTCCAGACATCTTCCTGGCCACCATCAGGGCCAGCCTTGTGATCTAGGATCCTCCTGCTGTGTTATTTGAGAAGCTTTCTTCCTGCCAGCATTGGGCCAGGTGCCCTGGACATCGGTGGCCAAGAACAGGCTTTAAAAGGCTAAGTGGAAGGTGACCATCTTCAAAGGGCCCTCAGACTTCCCAGAAAGCTCTGGCACACAGCCCTGACCTCAGGTCAGTGTTTCCTGCAAATGAACTTGTGAAGGCTCCATGAGGGCAGGGACCGTCCGTGTCTGTCTGGTTCGCTGCTATATCTCTCACAACCCCTAGGACAGAGCTGGAATACAGGTGGTGCTTAATACTGACTTCTTAATGTTTAATGACCTCCAATGTTTAAGGAAGTACAGAGGAAAGAGCCCAGGTTTTGGAGTCAGACAAGAGACCTGGATTTGAAACTTTCCTGTTCTACCATTTATCCTGGTCATGGGCAAGCCACTGTACCCCTCTTAGCCTCAGCTTCCTTATCTACAAGGTGGGGATCGTATCACCCACCTCAAAATGTTGTTGCAAGCACTGGATGGAAATAACAGGTAAAGGCCTTTTTAACCCAGTCCCTGGCAGAAAGCACCTTTTGGTTTCAGTTCATACACACTTTTATAGCTCTCACTGTATATCAGGCACCGTTCAAATGTGGAAGGGAGGATCCTAGATCACAATTAGTTTCTTTACTTCCTGTAACAATCCTGTGAAGTAGGATCTAGTTCTACCCCTTTCTCAGTTGAAGAAATAGATGCACAGAGGAAGAAAAGCAACTTGCCCAAAGTCTGATATCTAGAAATCAGGATTCATATTAATTTCAAAATCCAAGACTTGAAGTGCTACACTTTTCTGTTTCTAAAGCAAGCCGTCAATGCACGTTAGCTCCTGTCCCTACCCTGGTCCGATTATAGGAGAATATACGTATGTGACCACATTGCCAGACCAGGCTTCTCAGTTGCAACAGAAATACATCCGGGTATTCCCGTGGTTTGCTGTTTTGTCTCATTTTAAATTAAGGTCTGCTTCTGTGAAATTCAATCCCAGACAAGGTTGTTGATCAAGAACGTCTCTTCCATCGTGTCCTCCTGCTACCTCCTCAACAACTATTTACCAGAAAAAGACACACGCAGCTATGTATAAATAAGAAAAGGAAAAGAAAACCCTGAAAGGGAGAGAGTGAGCTTGTAAGCTCTCAGAAACAAAATTTGAAGAGGTCTGCTCCTCTTTCTAGTTATTCCTAAGAACAACTGCCTACACACGGGGTGCCCAAAGCAGAAGTAATGTGTCCACATGGAGACCAACCACATACAGTCTCAGCTTCCCCCGAGACCGAGGGAGCAGACACACAAGCCATCTCTTCTAACGTTCTAAACCTCATCGTAAAGAGAGCTTTCCATTTTCCCCTCTATAAGACTGCATCTGCCCTACCGCCAACCATGGAGGAAATTTCATTACCAAAATAAATCAGCGCTGCACTTGACCTTGCTTCTCCAATGGCTCAGGATTAGTGACATCGCAATGTACTCTACAAATGCTGAGAAATATCGGAATAACCCCTTCAGGTCAAAAACACTTGGTATTTCTCTAAAAGACATTAAATTATTTTGATTTTTACTCCATGGAATCCCAAATGATTTCAATGTTTTCATTTAAAAAAATGCTTAAGAGAAAAAGTATGCTCTCAGGACCTTAAGAAACCTTGACTCCTGGTCTGGTTTGTGTCCTGATTCGCATATGGTAAGATGGGGAACAGGCCAGAAGCTAAGAAATAGTAGCTCTGGCCCACACTGCTCACATGACTCAATCCCCAGTGGTTGGGGCCTCACTATGTAGTCTCCCAATTCAGCCTTTTTTTATCCTCAAAGTAACAAGCAGGTCACAGGAAGCTCCAAGATACCTAGGGCAGTTCCACTGAAGGGGTCTGGTCTCCATCTTCCATAACCCAGCTAACCACATTTCCCTCTCAATGTAGCAGTGGAAGCAAAGTTCCTCCAGGTTGTCCAAAGAGAGGGAACTGAGGGCAATGCTCCCTACCCAAGGCAGCTGCCTGGAGGTGGGGTGGTTTCAGGGCCACTGCAGCAAATGCAGCTCCTGCACCCCCAAATCAGTATACGTGACCCTACAGCTATAATTAATTCCTAACGCTGCTTGCTCAAAAGGAGAGCTCCATTTTAAATCAGCTTGGTCACCAACACAGTCCTTAAATGGAAGGCTGATTTAAGGAGAAAATGAATCTATCCATCAAGAACACGTGCTCTCAGGAAGCACTCAGAATCTGATTACCCTGGGTGTGAAAGACATGCTCCCACAACTAACACCATGTCTGTCAACTGATCACTCCTACTGAGGTACAAGTCACAAAATCACAGCATCATAACATAGAAAAGTCCCAAGGACCCACGGACATCATCTATTTTACCCTCTTTTCTTACAGGGGAGAAAACTGAGACACACACCAAGGGTGGGACCATTCAAATTCACTATTAGTCGACTACTCAAATCCAAAACTTCTCACAATTCTATTTCCTAGCCCGCTGCCTCTGATACCCAATTACCAACAAGGGCTCTTACGCAATTATTTTCTCACACAAAAATTTTTTTTTGATTGAGCTACAGGCAAATTGGTATATCTACTACGGCTGCTACCTCATAAGTACACTCAACAAAGAAAACAAAACTGGAGTTGAAAAAATTAACTTTTGCTTTGAATTATGTTCTTAGCCCTGAAACCTCGTTCCTAAAGGGACAATGCCTTTCCCAGAATTCCCTCTGAGAAATGAAGGGCTGTAGTTATTCCCAGCCAGGATTTCCAATACAAGGCTAATATTTTAGATTACAACAATTTCCAGGTAAACAAATGGGAGTTGTACAAGGTAGAGTGGTGGCCTGAGTCACCTTCCCTTCTCATAACAAAATCAGCTTCAAAGATGGCTCAAAGATTAAACTGCTTTTCTCTGCCTTTAGAATCGGGAGGTTGCATTTTTTAGGTATGAAGCCAAGACTCTGAAAGCAAAGAGCCAGGCTGAGGAGAGGTAGCCCAGGAAAGACACAAACACACAGCAAAGCAAAGGCCCTGAAACTTTCTATCCACAGCAGCTGAGATGTTTCATCCCAAGTCCAATTCACCAGGCCCGAAGGAGCTTCCTTCTCTGGCTACAGAGGATCACATGAGAGCATAAAACAAATACTAAAGGTTTAGGTTCTCCCCCACCCCACCCCATGTGTGTGACACTGAAGGCTGAGAGACTCCAAGGCTGCAGAAAACAAAATTTTCCTTGTTTCCATTACATCATCCAAGTTGGAGAGGGGGAGGGCAGAGTGGGGGGCACAGCTGGTGGCAGCTGCACCACCATCTGCTTTCTCCTTAGCAGGGTGTGCTCGTTTGAGCTGCAGCCTTCTACAGCTCGTGATAGAGGAGGCACCATATTAAAGGTACAACACCCTATTATGGAAAAGCTTTCAAATTATTGAGAAATAAATCACTCGTGATAAGTTAACAACCTCAGGTCGGTTGCTGAGCTGGTTCTCTTTTGAGTTTAGGTTATTTGTTTGCATCTCTTTAGACTCAGCTATAGTGCAAATTCTGTCAACTCAATATGCCCAATCAGATGAGCAGAATGTACCAGCAACCACCTGCCATCTGCTTCCCAAAAGGTAAGCAGCCAAAAAGTACAGGTCTGGAAGCATTAATGGAAGTAGCAGGGAATACCCAAAGCCAGCATGCAAGCTCCAGACCATGGATGTGTACATGGAACTGCCTTTGGCATCCCAAGCCATCTGGTCAACTGGTTTTGCCTTCTTGGGCTCTCACGGAGTTTCCTTCAGAACACTCCGCCAGGTGTCCCCTTACAGAAAGGGAGACAGGTGAGAATGGCCTGGGGGGAGGGGTTAATGCCTTATCTGCCATTCATCTACAAACTAGCAACAAAGCAGCAAATTGCTAGGTAGTTCATGAGTCTGATCCAGCCATGTACATGTTTTACCCAGCCTGTACAGGGTTGTGTTAAAAAAAAAAGTGCTGGCTTTTAAAAATGAGTAGATTTCCTATATAAACATCTAACATTGCTAGCTCTTCTTGGAAAAAAGAAAATATATCAAGAGATTTGGCAACACCGGGCCCCCATGTCTACATGCACCAGTCAGTTACCTGTAGCTAAGTGGCAGCGCTTCCTTTCAACTGGGCATGCATTCTCAAGAGCTGGTCCCCACATTAGTGTCTGCATATGCTGCTGCAACTATCTATGTTCCCACCTGGACCTTGAAAGCTTTTGCTTTAATGTCACTGGGCATGGAGAAGGAGAAGAAACCCCGGGGAATGATTTCTTGATGGTCCTTCATTGACTCTTCTCTTGAGACTTAGTCTGTTGGATGGCCAACTAAAATTCTACCAAGATTATTCAACACAACATAATGAATGGATCTCAGTAGAAGGCAAGCTATAACGATCCTTTACTACAAAAGCAGGTCGCAGCGTTTCCAATGAGCGTTCCAAACCACTCACCGTACATCTTGCCTTCGTCTGATAAGATGATTTTCCTCCTCCCACACGGTGGGTAGATAGCCAAGGCTTCCTGAAAGCTCTGCTCAATATCAGGGCTCCAGACCCCTTCTGCATCGTTGTCCATTGGCTTATCTGCAGAGTCACTCATCCTTTCCATGTTTTCGGCAGGGCTCTCACTGCCGCTCCAGCTGCTGGGCTCAATTTTGGCGGTTGGATGTTCCAAGCCGAAGCCTGGAGCCTTTTCAAGAAAATAAACCTAAGAGAGAAATCAAAAGATAGGGTGATAAGGACGAGATAACCATCAGCATACTGCTACTGCTCTTGATAGTTTCATTATACGTTATTTAGTCGGCAGCTTTGCTAGGAGAGTAACTCCTACCAGAAAATATGGAATTTTTAGATCCAAGGGGCTTTTTTTCCCCTTTACATATCATGCTATACAGAAATGCAATCATCTCAATACAGAAACGCAAAGGCAGACAGAAGCTGGACCATCTTCCCAGATGAGAGAGGAAGTTTTCGTCTGAGAATAGCACAGGCGTTCGCAGTGAATCATACAAAACCATTTACTAAGTGCCTACTATCTACCAGGAGCACTTTGCTCAATGATAATCAAATCTCCACAGCAGAACAAGTTGTTTAAAATAAAATAAAGCAAAACAAAAGATGTCTGCCTCACTGTGGCAGCTGACATGATAACTCCGAAATGTTAAACCAGCCTAGTATTTGTCACTGAGATCACTGAGATGCAAGATGGCGGCAGCATGGAGGAGGGTGGAGGGCGATTATTTGGTTATCACAAATACGCTACTAAGACAGCAATGCCAGTTGACCTGCACGTCCTAGTCCAAAGCATTTCTCAGTGGGACTCTGACACTGTACAGTCAGGTCACATTGCCACTCTCAGTTTCTAGACTGTAACCTTGAAGCAGAGACCAAGTTGTTCCCATTCCTGCCTTCCCTGCAACAGCTACAAGTGGCCAGGACATTTGCAGAAAGAAATGTTTTACACCTATATGATAACCTACTCAGAATTCCTGATCATAAGAAAACTGTGGCGGAGACACTCATGCATGTCTCTGTAGCGCTGAGATTACAGAACCAAAGGAAATCTTTCTCAAAGATTTATTCCCCTTCAATTATGCATGAAACCTATGGACTTAAAAAGAGATAAGCTTTCCAAATGAATGTCAAAGGGGCATAAACACCAATGTGAAAATGATCTAATCCAGCACCCCATGCTGTCTGCACACTAACATATCAATATTCCTTTGTTGAAAAGGCATCAGGTCATTAATTCAATGCCTTCCCCAAAAAGGGGAGAAGAATGGCTCCTGGGCACTGATCGAAGAGGGGAGGCAGAGGGCCTGAGTAGGGATGGCTCAGTGGGACCACCATTCCCTGCTTTCTGCCCCCATCAACCTTACAACAGAGGCAGCCAGGAGGGGAGCAGGTGTTGGCGGCCTCAGCAGGCACCAGAGACTGCGCGTGTTCCAGGGCAGTCACCTGAGATCAAGCAGCCTGTCTCCTTTCCTTCTCCCTCCCAGTTGCATCCCTTTCCCCTGCCCTCCCCCACCAGTGTATGTCAACAGATCCCAGGTGCAGAAACTCTGAGCCACATGAACATTACACAATTAAGGGTACAACTAGTGGGTACTTTTGGCTTCGTACCCTGACAGATTTTTAGATTTGGCAGCACCTGGATAAAAGAAGCCCTCAGGTTGCCTGCCTTTAAATGCTGCCACGGATCTATCATTCAAAGAGCTTGTCAGCAAAATATTTACTACTTCTTACCAACACATGTACATCGACACAGGACTTTTGAAACTGCCAAATGTTGAGGTATAAGTTATGCCACAAGAAAGCGTGTTGTGACTGACCCCCAGATGAACTGTGCAATGCCTGCAGTATGGGCCTTTTGAATGCTCAAATTATTACATTTTTTTCTGGGATCTAAGAGTCTTATAAAATTCAAGCTGAGCTGTACTCTCCCCTAGAGTCTGTTCTCCAAAGTGGTTCGCTGGAGAAATTAGAATATGGGCGAATGCTCTGAGAGCTGTGGCTAGTCCATCTTCTCCCTTCTCCACCTTCCCCCAAAGAAAACAAAACAATAGACACATACAGAAATACATGCCAGTCCTTGAGCTCTGGGAAGCTCAGAGCAGGATAAATTCATTCCGGGGAGCCACATTTTAAGATAAACCATGGATGTGCCCAGCACACAACCACTATGGTAGAGGGATGGAATCCAGGACAGTAAGGACCAGCTGAAGGAATGAAGGGAGCCTTACTTGCCTAAAACGAACAATACCATATAACTGAAAGCTTCAGAGTCTCCAGACCAAAACCCACCAAAACCTCCTAATCTAATGCCTACATCCCCTTGCTTCTCATCAACTGGTCATATAGTCTATGCTTGAATGTCGCCAATGACAAGGAACCCACTACCTCCCCCAATACCACCTCCTTTGCACTGATATTCTGAAATTCTTCCATCTATAATATTAGGAGAAAACCCATGCCATAATTAACTTCTACCCACCCATCCTATCCATGCAGGAGCAAATCTCCCCCTAAAACACCCATTTAGGTATGACAGCTGCAGCCCCTGGGCTCCTGAATGTATCCTAGACTAGACATAACTCTCATCACCCTCGCCCTGCCCTCATGAACACATCCCAGTTTGTCCACAGCCCTCAATAAATGACACTCAGACGTGGACTGACTATATGATCCAAAAAACTTCTAAGCTCCCACACTCCAAGTGCTGTTTCTAAATTCCCTTTCGTGTGCAATTGGTTTAGGAGCTACATGCAGAAGTTTATATATATCCCTGTTAAATTCCATTATTTTAAGCCTTAGCCCATGGCTCAAAGCTGGTAAGATCTTTCTGAATTATAACTGCCATGCTTAGTGTCCTTAGACATTAAACAACCTCTACAGAGCTCTCTGTCACATGGAAAGAGTGTAAACCCATTCTGTGGAAGTTCTAAGAAGATTCTAAATCAACATAAGAAAAAATTTCCTGCTAGTTGAACTGTTCCACCAGAGGCGGACTGCCTTCAAGACAAACAGCATAGACTTGCAGACAACCCTTTCCAGTTAGAGACAGCTCAGGGTCACAAGCCCTTGGTTGTTTGGGGAATGCACTATTAGCTACCATTAATCGATCCATCTACTCTTAGTAAGCACAGGCACTGTTCTGTTCTAAATGCTCACATGTTTTTATTCATTTACTGCAAAGGGAAGAACTCTGTGTCCAGGCTCTTGCAATTTGGTCAACTGGTGCTTTGCAGGATGGAATTACCTACTCTGGACAACGGCCAGGACACAGCCCCAGAACAACCAGATACATAATCCACAGAGTTATACAGACCCTTGGTTTTACAACCCAATTGTAAGATGAAGCCCTGTGTGGGCAGAGAGTTTCCGATCACAAGATTTGGGACTGGCTGAGAAAAGCTCCCCCCCCCCCCCCCCCCCCCCCCCCCCGTACTGGATACCGAAATAACCATTCTGGCATTCCTTCCCTCAGGTCCTTCCAGCCCAGCTCAAAATCCACCTCATCCTGGAAACTGTCCTTGTAGCTATCTAGTGGCTCAGAGTATCAGCCACACATTAGGAGTGTCCTGAAAATGTGTGGAATTGGTTAACCACCACCCAATCTACCTGGTTTCTGAATACATAGTGAGAATCACCAGCTCATTGCCAACAATAAGATCTAATCAAGTGAATTATGCATAAAATATCTGTGTCTGCAGAGCTGATGTCCTTACCTGCTCATCCATCCTTTGAGCAAAGGAGTTAACTTTCGGTAAATTCAGTAAATGAAGAACATAGAATTGGGGGTGGGAGGGGGACACGATATTAAGGTTCAAACTGATCTGGGTTCCAAACCTAGATCACTAACCATGCAGTCCAGACTAAAGTATTTAATCCCTCAAAAGCTCAGGTTTTATCTGTGAAACGGGAGATAATACATTAAATTCAATCCCAATACAGAAAAATCATTAAGGGGTGGAGGGACTCTACTCCACAGGGTTGCCGTAAAGATTTAGAGATAATTAGGGAAGGTGCTCTGTCATCTGTAGAACCATGACCAGATGTTCATTTATTTTCAAGTCCATCATCTCTAGACAGTGGTATGTATCTTGTGATGCCAGAATACCTACTGATAATGGATGAAGAAATGAAGGTGCTTCCCTAATGGTTCCGTTTGGGAAATAAATTTACAAAGGATCCTTTTGTCTTAAGTGACCAGATGGAAAATTTAAATTGGTAAATAAACACTTTTACTTATAACATTCATCTAAATCTAAACTTATATTCACAGGGTCAGTAATTTCTATATTCTAGTTTGGCTCAGGGGAATAATCCCAAACCTAAAAGAATGCCTAAAAGGAAAGAGAGACGGGAACTCTTGTTTGCTAAAAATGCATTGTGTATCATGTAGTCCCCTGTGTGCTTCAGTTTCCACCATTAACATTTTTTCCTAAAAGTTCCTTTTTTTCCTGAAACTCTCCCTAGCCACACCATAATAAATTCCAAAAAGAACGATTACCAGAGAGCCAAATATTCTTGCTAACTGCTCCAACAGCCATACTCCCTAAATGGATCATTCTTTTGCAATTACCCACTGACACTTCAAGAAGGGTAGAGGAGTACAGTGGAATGACATCATCTATATATTCGACCAATGCACATTTTAATATTAGAGCCTGGGGGAACAAGGGTGTGGGAGAGTCAAATACAGGTGCTTCTAACACCAACTCCATTCAAGGAACGTATGTACAAAGGATATGACGTAGGACGCAGGAATCTACTGCTCCCTTCCATCTTCGTTCCTACGGGGCTCTCGTAATGTAATCATCTCACCCACTTATGGATGATTTAAGGGCTCTTAAACAAAAGAGTTAGTTGTAACTAACCCTCATGATTAATAAAACACCACTGATCATGAAGGTCACACAAAAAAAGCCATACCGCTTGTTTCAGCCAATAACTTAACAGTCTATAAGGCAAGAGGAAAAGAGCTGGACTAGGCGTTAGGACTCTGTCTCTACCTCAGTAACGCAGCACCACGTGGGACTTATAGCCCCTGTTGTCTCAGTTTCCATCATTAACACTGAATGAGGCCAACTTAGTCATTCATCACCTTGTATTCCCATAGACTCTACCAATAATAGAACTTAGTAAGCCAGTTGACTACTGCCCCCCTCTAGCCACACTCCAGTGTCCAGAGGGCAGGAACTGTTC